TCATTCCTCTACTTTGTTAGTGAAATAACGTTTTTAAAACTTTTATTTCTACTATCAAAAAATGTTATTCAATGGCCATTGTTTTTCGATTATCTCTCAGAACATTATTTGCATCTGCTGTAATTGTTTAAAAAAAATGCTTTTAAAGAAATAAAAAAAAAATCACATATTGATCTCAGTTCAAAGGAAAAAATAAAACTTATTTCTAAATTTACAATTTTCACCTATAAACCTCTTAATTTCACAAAAAAGTGGGTTCTTTTCCAAACAAATACATTCTGCCTAATATTGTGTGTTTAGATTAGATCTTTTGCTTTAACTTTGGAAATGAGATCATTTTAGATACTATTTCTGTATAAACTAATTTTTTTTTTCATATTACTGTAAACCTAATTTTGATAAATTTACTCTGCACTACGGAATTTCCAATAAAAAAAAAGAAAATTAATTAAAAAGATCATAGATTAAAAATAAGTAAGGCATAACATATTTTTAGTCTATGTTAAAGCATAACTATTTTTACATAATGAAATTTAGTAAATCAAATTATTATTTGTGGCTTTTATTTATTAAATCAATTAAGAACATAATCTCAAAACAAAATTTAATGACAAGAAAGATCGACGTTTCGGGTCCATCATTCATGGAACCATCTCAAGATCAAGTAAATTGAAAAAAACTAAAAACAAAAATGCCAAGCAGTGACAGGAAGTAATTAATTTACATATCAATAGGGCCTACTGTGTGGAGCCACAATGGAGCTAAGCAATAATTAGCCCTTATTAGCAGATTAACTAGATAAACAGTTTGGCTTTTTTTTGGCAGTTTGTTTGTTAAGTGTAGGTTTCAGTTCTTTGATCCAAAGCATTTCTTTAATTAAGCAATCAAACTTGGATTTGCCCTTAGATAAAACCTTGAAATAATTAACAGTTTCAGTAGCACTAATATAATGATCTTTTAAATGTTGTCCTATGTTACCTTTACTGTGCATAATCATTTTTTTATTTAAAATAGAATTATTTAATCAATCAGTAACTTGTGTTTTTTTTTAATGAAATTAATGATTTTCGTTAAAAAGATGCTACCCAAGGCGAGACTTTTTAATGGTTTATAACATTCCCTGCAAGTTTGTCGTTCAAAACTGGTGCCGAATCAATGTTTTAGAGCCTCCCATCAGAGCCATTAATAATAATAATAATATAAATAATTGGCCGCAAATATAGTAATAATATCTAATAATATTAATAATTTAAAAAAATACTTAGACCTACTCCCAGCTACTCATAAGAGCTAAAAATAATTTATTTTAGTTCTCAAATATGCATATTCTTTATGTTGATTTATTAATTAAATTTTTGCTACAAGGTATTTTACAACATTTATTTTTTTTTTCTTGAATTTTATAATTGAGGGCCATTTTTTATTTCTTGATTCAATTCTTGCTTATACAGTATTTAAATATTTGAAGATTAAACAAAATATATATCATTTCTATTACCGAATTTTTCATTGGGGCCATTTTTACCTACCTGTCATATGGGGCCATTTTTACCGGGCCATTTTTTCTGGGCCATTTTTTCCGGGGCCATTCTTACCTACATTCCGACC